TGAGTGTTGTTTTTTATCAAATAAGTGTGAGGTGTGTATTAAACATCTGAGACTCGTGTGGATGGGCTGACTGGCTGACGCAGAGGGCAAAGGCACATGTTGCCACATCTGATTGCCTGAGTTTTATTCCCGGGCCCAGCCCAACATGGGGGAAGGAAAGACCCAGAACCGACTCCTGCAAGTTGTCCTCTGACTGCTGCATACATGCCATGGAACCACACCTGTGCCCTAAGTTAATAAATGTAGGTGGATTTTTGGTTGGTTGGTTGTTTTTGAGCAAAAGACCTCTGAGACCAAAGATACATCAGTTAATACACAAGTTAGTTTCCCTTTGCTGTGAGCACACACTGAAAAAAGTAACTTAAGGAATTACTTATTTAAGCTTAAAGTCTCAGAAGTGTCACACCATTGTGATAGGGAGGGCATGGCAGAGCAAAGTAATTCACATCTTGGAAAACAGGAGGCAGATACAGGAAGATAATGGATGGATAACGCCTCCATCACAGTGACCTGCCCTCTTGAACTAGGATCTACCTTCTATCTCTGTCATCCCCCACAAATGTCCTTGTATTATGAATCCATCAAGGAATGCCCTTGCTTAGGACAGAGGCCTCATGATCTAACTGCCACTAGAAATGCCTTTACAGATAGACTCAGATATGTTACATCCCGTCTGTTTATTTTACATCAGCTGCTGCCTTCCCCTATCCCCATCTTCCTTCCCAGTCCCTCTCCCCCTCCTCCCTCCCTCCACCCCCATCCCCCCTTCCATCTCCATCCAGGAAAGAGCAGGTCTCCTATGAGTATCAATAAAACATGACATATCAAATTGTAAGAAGCCTAAGCACCTCTCCATGTATTAATGCTGGGCAAGGTGACCCAGTATGAGAAGTAGGATCCCATAAGCCAGTAAAAGAGTCAGAGACAGCTCCTGTTCCCACTGTTAGGCGTCCCATAAGTGGACCAAGCTTCACAACTATAACATATATGCAGAGTGTGTAGGTCAGTCCCATGCAGGCTCCCTGGTTGTAGGTTCAGTCTCTGTGAGCCCCTATGAGCCCAGGTTAGTTGATGACGTAAGCCTTCCCATGGTATCCTAGACCCCTCCTCCTCCTCTTCCTCTTCCTCCTCTCCTGCAGGATTCCTGAACTCTGCCTAATGTTTGGCTGTGGGTCTCTGCATCTACCTCCATCAGCTGTTAAATGATGCCTCTCTGGTGTCAATTGGGCTGGGCACCAATCTGGTCATAGGAGATGGCCAGTCCAGGCTCCTTTATCCACTATTGCTGGGAGTCAAAGCTGGGGTCCTCTCATAGACTCCTAGGAGATTTCCCTGTGCCAGGCTTCTGCCATACCCTGAAGTGTGCCCTCCCAGCAGCCCCCCCTTCAGCACCCTCCCCCTCCATGCCCCTCCCAACCTGATGACATAAAGTTGAAAGTTAATGATGAAAATCAAGAATAATCCTAGCAGGGAGTTGTACAAGATCCTGCTGTTTGAGGGGAGGGGTTTGAACTAAAGATATTAGTGTGGTTATCAGTATCAGATAAATATTTTACTGACTCACCCTAGAGATAGAAAAAGAAGATTGTTCAGGACTGAACTGTGAGGCATTCCAGCACATAGGGTTTCAGGTAAGAGATGACACACCATAAAGAGATAGAGGAGGAATGATGGGTGAGCAGGGTGAGCATAAAGAGAAACCAGGAGAGTTACAAGAGGGGAGTCCAGCTGGGCATTGGTGGAGCACGCCTTCAATCCCAGCATTCGGGAGGCAGAGGCAGGCAGACCTCTGTGAGTTTGAGGCCAGCCTGGGCTCCCGAGCCAGTGCCAGGATAGGTTCCAAAGCTACACAGAGAAACCCTGTCTCGAAAAACAAACAAACAAACAAACAAACAATAAAAAAAAGAGGGGCATGCTATCAAATGCTGCTGGCTGATAGGGGAACATGAAGTTAGTGGGTAATCCATTGGGCTTGATTATCAATCATTGATAATTTTGATGAACAGTGTTAGACAACTGTGGGGCTGGGAATATAGTTCAGTTGGCAGAGTACTTGCTAGTATGCATAAAGTTGTGGGGTCATCTCTAATACAACATAAAACCAGGAGGAAGCAGGAGATTAGAAGTTGAAGATCATACTCAGAGCTTCACAGCATGATTGAGCCCAGCTTGAGATATATGAGACCCTGCCCCCCAAAACCAACAACAGGAACAGAACAGTGTTAGCAGTATGGTAAGGAAAGAATCACGGTAGAGCAAATGGCAATGTAAACAGGAAAAAATTAATGAAAAGCAAAATAGAACTCAGGAGGCAGAGACAGGATAGCTCCAAGGCCAGCTTTGAGGCCAATCTTGCCTAATTTCAATGTTCTAGGCTAGCCAGAGTTACATAGTGAGGCACTCAGTCTTTTTTGTTGTCGCTGGCCTGGAACTTGCTGTATAGACCAGGTTGGCCTCTGTCTCTCATATGCTGGGCAGGAAATGGGAGGAGGAGAATCTGTTCCTCCTGCAGCTCCTGAATCTCCTGAATCTTTGGCTCCCAAGGATGGGGACAGAGCAGTGGTATCCTCATGTGCACAGCAGTGGAGAGAGAGACCCTTACATCCCTCCTGCTTTGTGAGGTTGGGCTAATCACTTGAATGAAGTACACCTTCAAAGGAGTAGCCCCTGATGACACATGAAGTAGCACTCAAGAAATGGAAGTGGCCAGCTATGAGAAATTAGTTGGGGACTGAGGTTTAGCCCAAAAGACTGTTATGATGACTCAGAGCTGGATGAGGAGAGTTCTAAACACACACACACACACACACACACACACACACACACACACACACACACCCTTCTAATATAGGGTGAGACCGGTTAGAATCTGGAGTAGAGCAGGACGGTAGCCATTTCCCTTCCTTTGGAATGTCCTGTTCTCCCACTGCCCCCAGCAGTTAGTTGTGTGCAGCCAGCAGCTAGGCAGTGCAGTTCACACCGTGTGCTGCTGCCCCAGTGCCAAGAGGGAGGTTAGCAGCAGGGACTGAGCAGCAAAGGTGGAGCCCAACGCCTCTCCATGACGCTGTTGGCCAAGCCACCCCTTCCACAGTGGATGCAAGCTGAAGAAGGCTGAGGGAAAGGTATTAGACAAGAAAATGCAAACGAAGGGAAGAGGGCGCAGAGGGCAAGCAGGCGGAATTGGTGACCCGAAAACTACGGATCTGCCTGCAGAAAATGGAGAGGTGGAAAACCAGAGTTCAGCCTCACAAGTAGAAAAGAAAGAAGCCGAATCTGATGAACCATGCAGCATGCTGTCAGAGGTCCCTGCCTCCCTTGTACGATCCAGAGGAATGTTTTTTATCAACTATTTCATAAATTTGAGTTTTTTTAGTCATTCTAGAACGATTTTTAAAAGGTGGAGGGAAATCCTACCTGATCCCATTTTTAAATCGTAAACGATTTTTTAAAGAGGTTAAATCATTTGACTGTTGTTTGTTTCTTTGTTTATTTATTTGTTGGTAAACCAGAAAAATAGCAGGATACTGAATCAGGAGAGACTGTGACTGTCTTGGGGGTTACCATAGCATTCTGTAAAAGGGGCTGGTTTTAAATCCTACAAGACAAATCATATTAAACCACAACTTGGAGTCTCAATTGTTCATTTGTGTCTGAAATATTATCAGTTATATTTGGTCTTGTGTTTCTAGTAGAACCATTTCCTAAAAACCTACTCCTTGGTCCTTGCCCTGTCAGAATTGTGACAACCGACTGCTGTGAATGGTGGAAATTTTGAGTGTGTACTGTATGGGCATAAAGTTGTGAGTCAGTAGGGGATCGATATGTGAGGTCTTAGGGAAAACTTGCCAAGTTTGAGGCTGGAACATCACTGGACTGAGTTAAAAGAGAAGCAACATGTGGCTTTTCAGAGTTTGGGTACGTGAACACAACGTATGACTTTGGGTAGGTGTGTTAATAATTGAAATGTCTGAGCTGGGCGGTGGTGGTGCATGCCTTTAATCCCAGCACTCAGGAGGCAGAGACAGGCGGTCTCTTTGAGTTCAAGACCAGCCTGGTCTACAAGAGTGAGTTCCAGGACAGCCTCCAAAGCCACAGAGAAACCCTGCCTCGGGAAAGAAAAAAAAAAAAAGATTTGAAATGTCTGTATATATACTCTACTTCTCAACCAAGAAAGTGTCCTGCTGTGTCTTTAATCCAACCACAGCTGGACAGTCTGGCTAAATGCCAGCTCACTTGCATTTGTCTGCATCACTCTTGCTCTGGCCTTTGTTCACTGACTGAATTGAGAGCTCAAGATGGGACCTCACTTTGTTCCTACCAAAGAGGCTTCTCCAGTCAGGGTGGCTGGCTGAAACTGACCAGCCCCAGGAGGTTTGGGAGAAAACTGTCATCTCCCTAGGTTCTTGAGATCCCTGCCACATTGGTTTCTTTACTCCACCCTCTTGGAGATGGCTGGAGAAGGTGGTTGGTGATTTTCCTCCTGGGTTTCTCAGATCTGTTCCTCTGCTGGTCTGACATATACCGCCTCTGTGCTCAGACATTGACTTTAATGTGTGAATCTACCCATCTCATTATCTAAGACAAGTTAGCTTGTAAAATCAAGTCTGGGACATTTTGGAGGTCTCAGGTCCCTGCTCTGATCTCCAGAGGATTATAGATGGGGTGCCTGTTACCCCTGTATCTGAATCCTTTGTCCCCGGAAGCTCTGCTGGGACACAGGCTCAGAAGACAGCAGCACAGACTGTCTTTTGCCCAAACAGCTGGCTAAAAGCCTTTTATCCAGTGTAGGTCACTGTCCCTTCTGTCTCATGAAATAACCCTATTTTGGCTTCAAGTACAGTTATCCTGTTGGGTCCTGGCTGCCCTATGGCAGAAGTATGACAGTGTACTAACTGAGTTAAAACCAGGCTGACCAAGCATACACTGGGAGCCAGCCATCAGCAGCAGTGTCTGTTGTGGAGAAGTGGGTCCCTTCTGACTCTCAACTTCTGTGTGGACAGGCTAGACATCAATACCAACACCTACACATCTCAGGACCTCAAGGATGCGCTGGCCAAATTCAAGGAGGGAGCAGAGACAGAGAATTCAAAGGATGAGCAGGTATGTGATGGTCTGTTTTGTTAGTTTTTACCAGGAGAGACTGGTTTTTACCTGGAAGCTTTTGTAGTAGGCATAGAGTAATAATGTAAAGTAATTGGAAAAGTGATTTATGACAAATTTAAAAAAGGCTTTTATATACTTTTTTGTTTTGGTTTGGATTTTGTTTTTCTTTTTTAAGATATGGTTTCTCTGTGTAGCCCAGGCTGCCCTGGAACTTGCTGTGTAGACCAGGCTGGCCTAGAGCTCAGAAATTTGCCTGCCTCTGCCTCCTGAGTGCTGGGGTCAAAGGCGTGCACTACCAGTGCCTGGCATCTTTATATATTATTTTTTAAAACTGCTCAGAGCATTTCTATTTCAGGTTAGGATCCAATGTTCTACATATTTGGAGAAATTGTGGAATAAAACAAGTGATTATAACCCAGAACCCTCACTTAACAATGTGATTAAACATAAATTTGAGTTTTGTTTTGTTTTATTAGGGCTTGGAGAAATGGCTCAGTGGTTAAAAGCACTGTCAGCTCTTGCAGATGACCTGAATTCAATTTCCAACACCCACATGGCAGTTCACAACTGTTTGTAACCCCAGTTCCAGGAGATCTGATGCTCTCTTCTGGCTTCTGCAGGCTGAGCACACATGTGGTGCATATACATACTGGTACTGATGCACATAAAAATAAACCTTTAATTTTTTAAAAATAAGATGGAAGACAAGAGAGGACAAAGCCTGAGTTGGGGCCTCTAGTTTCTTAAGCATAAAATCTGGGAGGGGGAACAAGAAGATGGCTGAAGTTTCCCTAGCCCTAACTGTCCACACAGGCTAAGGTATAAGAAGGAAAAGCAGGAGAATTTGTGCCCCTATCTTTGTGGGTGGGGGGTTAGAGTGGAGGGCTGACTGATAACAGTTCATACCAAGAAGTAATACTATCCGGGGAATATCACAAAGCATTTCTGTATATTCCCAGTGAGACCTGCTAGTCCTGAAAAAACCTTCTTTAACAGCTGCTTTGTAGACCCAGGTCCTCCCCCCCTTTTTTCTTCCTCACTGTCTCTCTTGCCATTGACTGCCTCTTGGCCCTTTCTCTTGAATACTGGGAGAATCTTAAGAGAGTAGCATTAGGTCCTTGGCAGTTTGTGTGTTAGTTCAAAATGGCTTAGGCCCTTCAGATTTAAAAATAAATTACATTTATGTATTTATTTTGTAGGGTTTGGGGAAGTGCAAGCTATGGTGCACAGGTATAGAACGACTTAGGAGGATTGGCTCTCTCTTTCTACCAAGTGGTTCCCAGGAACCCTTCGGGCTCTTTGGAAGTGTTTCTGAGACTAATGAACCTTTGTCGTGGAGCTTGTGTTATTCAAGATGTGTTGAAGCCGGATCTTAAGACACACATCTGTAATCTCAGGGAGGCTGAGGCAAAAGATTCTGACGTTTGAGTCTTTATATATGTTACCTAATGTTTATCCTTAGAACCCAATGAAGCAGCCAACTGTTTTCCTTTCAAATACCGTCTAACAAAACTGATCACAAACTAATCCAGAATGTGCATCTGATCAGATGTCAAAATGTCAGTTTGCTAACCAGTGGAACACAACAGTAGAAGTCAGCAAGGGCCTCATGCATTTTAAAACACTTGTAGATTTATAGGGCCAAAAATCAGTCAAATGGAGATATTTATAAATGAAATACATAATTGCCAAGCATGGTGACACGCACCTGTAATCCCAGCACTCTAGAGGCTAAAGCAGGAAGATTGAGTTCTAGGCTCACCGGGACTACATAGTAAATTTCCAGGTCACCTTGGACTGCACAGAGACTCTGTCTCAAATAACCAAGCCAAACCAATACAAACCCAAAGTCTTCATGTCTTTAGTTATCTTACCAAAGTCTCATGTCATAGAGAGAGTACATGTTAGAAGGAAGGGGCAGGTTGGAGACTTGGCCCAGGGGAGAAGAATACTAGTTACTCTTTGCAGAGGACCCTGGTTTGATCCCCAACATCCACATGATGGCAGTCACAAGGAATCTAGTGCCTTCTTCTGGTCTCTGTGGGCACCAAGCACACACATGGTACACATATGGACATGGGGGGGAGCCACTCATACACACATATAAATATAAATAAATAAAAGAAAGAAGGGACAGGATGACAGCTTTAGCACATGAAATAAAGTGCTGCACAGGATTCTACCCTACTGACGAAGAGAAGCAAATGTGTCACCAAGTAAAGGAGAGGTCAGGAGAATGCGTGTGTCTGGATCCTGGGTTCAAGATTGGTGTCCCTGTGCCCAGGGCTTTAGACCTTTCTCACCTGTCACCCTTCCTTCTGGACATTGTGTGGTCTGCAAGGAACTGGAGCTGTTGTTGCAGGTTCCGTATCCATTGTGTTCAGTGGATAAAAACCCACTGAACCTTACTTCTCTCTGCCTTCCTGAGTAAGTACAGTTGAAATTTCCTTCTCAGACAATGACATTTTCTTTTCATAATTTAATTAGTGTGGAAACTATGAGTAATTGTTGAAAGATATGAAAAATGTAAGGGCAAAGATTTTAAGTTTTCCATTGTTGTCTAAAGAATCCATTCCTTCTGCAGAGGAATCCACAGAACAGCATAACAGCAAGACCTCGGTAGCTTCGGGTGGAGCCATCCACCTGCCTCAGCGCCCAGGAGGCTGGGGTTGGGGTCAGGTCATTAGTTGTGCACTGAGGTCCAGGACCTGGCTCCCTCTGCTTCCCTGTGAAGCTGGTCTAGACTGACTTGGCTCATTGGCCACATGCTGTCAGCACCAGCTCTGGACAAGCAAAGTGACTTGAAACAGGCTTGGGTTTGTTTTGTTTTTACAGGTCTCCTGCTCCTGGCTAAGAGCCTTTCATACTTTAGCTAATTAGTTTTTACGTCTATTCTCTATAATGCCATGTAAATACAGGATGACTCTTTGCCATGTTTATAAAAAACAATGCTGTCAGATATTGGCCGTATCTCTCAATTGTGTTTCTCAGATTTGACATGAAATTTGCAGGAAAAAGGGTAACTATCAGTGAACTGATAGTTACTTTAATTAATTTAGATGAAGTTTCTTCTCAAAAAAGCTGCCTCAGGGGTGGCAAGATGCCTCAGTGTATAAAAGCCCTTGCCATTAATCCTGAAGACCTGCGTTCAGTCCTACAAGTTTGTCGCTGATCTACACACATGCATGCACACATACATACACATATGCCATGACATACTAGTATGTACACACACATATATACATACATTAAATAAATAAATGTAAAAAATTTTTTAAGTGTGACTAGAAAATGGTATGACTTTAAGCTTTTGATTCCATGGCAAGTTGATGTTCCCAATGCTCACACTAAAGACAGCTGAAACCCCTGGATATAACTGTAGATGCAATATGGAGATTTCTAAAAGGTGGCATATTGGACAGGGATCTTGGAGCTTTAAGGATGACAAGTCAGCATCTCTTTGGGCCATCTTTTAGCCCTACACATTCTATCTGGGCACTAGAGAATTTCAGGTGCTGAAATGCCAGCAGGTTTTAGATAATTTAAAAGATTCTTTGTTTTCTAAGACAGGGTCTCCTAGTACATCGCCTAGGGTGACCTGGAGCTCATTGGGTCACAGCCTGGACTCAAACATGTGATACTCTTGCCTTAGCCTGCCAAGTACTAGTATGCACTGCTAAGCTTAGCTTAAGTAACAGGTTCTAAAACTCTAAAAGAAAGTTTCTAGTTAGAAAAGGAGTAGTCTATAGGAAAAAATAAAAATCTTTTTGACAGTACCTGTCCTACTTCTGCCAAAGACCATGGCACACTGACCACTACCCCATAATAAACATTCATTAGCAGTAGAAGATAAGAGAGTGTAGAATTA